TAAATACTAGTCAGTTAAACTACAGTAGCATGTATATTCCATCCGACTTTTAGTTGTCGAAATTCTCTGGATTTCTTGTGTCAGATATGGCCTTTACAACTCCGACTCGTAAACGACCAAGTGATGTCCAGGACGCTGCTGTCGAAGAGGAAGTTCTTATACGCCAGCTGTTACGTGATCTTAAAGTTGATACAGGTGACGTTATTCTATTTAATCGCTCATGCGTGTCCATGGGACCTTATGGCGGTGCAATCTGCGTCTGTGCCAAGTTTTTCGGTCAGACGCAGTGGGACCACAATGGCGTCGTGGTGCGTGCTCCATGGCTGACACCAGACGCCAAATCACCTGAGGATGAACTCTTTCTGCTTGAAGCAGCGCTCACAGGCGTCAAATTACGGCCACTTGTAGCTCGAGTAGTGCTTAGCCGCGGATATGATGTCGCTGTACGTAAGCTGCAGAACAGTATGTTTTAGGCAGTCTTGATGCATTATACGAAGATGATCCCACGAGATTCTTTAACGCTGGCTTGGCAGTACCCACACGAATCGCTCGCGAACGAATTTTCGCAGCTTTGGTAGCTACGAAAAAAGAACGTGCGCGTCTGGACGCAGAGCTGGCTCATCGCGACAAAATGCCAGTATTTGAAAGAAAAGCGCTGCAGCAAGAGTTACAGACCGTGAATGAACGATATCAAGCCTTGGCGTCAGAGCTTGGAGGTCGAACTCGCTCTGTATTTGAGAACGCCGTCGTGGAGGGAGACGACGTGAAAAGTACGAAAATGTTCTGTTCGCAGTTAGTTGCTGGAATGTATCAATATTTGGGCTTATTGCTACCATATCCGTCTGCGAAATCATACTTGCCGAAACACTTTAGTGAGCGCGATGGCGGTAACTTTTTGAAATTGCAACAAGGGGCAAGTTTCTTGCCAGAAGTTTCGTTGAGAAAAGAGCTTGTCAAAGAGACTAAACGAGTTGCTATGCGAATTCTGGAAGCTAATGAACGTGGACCTCGCACTGGAACGGAAACAGCGGCGATCGTGCATTGCTTGCGTCGGCATCATTTGTTTCATACGTTGAGTGAACCAGAGCTGCTAAGTGCTGCATTGCACTTTCGACGCCGTGTACTAACCAAAGGAGAGGTCGTATTTTTTCAAGGAGCTCCAGGAGACTGTTTTAACATCATCGAGCGTGGAAACTGCGATGTCTTTGTCGACTATGATCATCTTTCAGAAACAAAGACTGCACTCGAAGCTGATGAAGGTTCCAAGCCGGAATTCAAGCGACGTACACAGCTTCAAAAACGCAAAACAATTGCGTTACCTGAATTTCAATCGTCGTCAAAACTTGTTGGTCATAATGAGCATGTTCTTGTCGCCACTCACGGACCCGGGAATGCTTTTGGTGACTCGGCTCTTGTATATGACACCCCGCGACGTGCGACAATCCAAGCAAATGCATTCACTTCGGGCGACAGTAACGAGGCAGTTGTATTATGGCAACTAGACAAACAAAAATTTCGTGAAATTCTGGCTTGTCATCCAAGTAGCCAGCAGTCAATGGAAGAGCGTCGATTTTTGTTAAAAGCATTGAAAGACCATCCTCTATTTACAGAGCTTGATGATCGGGCCAAGGCACACGCTGTACGCAAGTTCTTTCCGCTTAAAGTGCGAGCAGGAACGACCATTTTGCGGCAAGGGGACCCGGGTGACTATTTCTATGTAGTCGAAAGCGGTCGTTGCGAGGTAACACGTTGGAAGCCAAAAGCAACAAAACCGTTTGTAGACCGTGTCATCGGTCGCGGCGCGAGCTTTGGTGAAGCTGCTCTGCTATACAATAGCCGTCGTGGCGCCTCGGTGAAAGCTCTGGACGATGTCAAGGTTTGGTGTATGGATCGTGTCAGCTTTCATACCATTACGCGCAGTGGATCAACAGCATTATACAGATTATTCAAAAGAGTGGGCCAAACCGTTGTGTCCGGTTCAAGTGAAAGTTTTGCGACGGAACGTGATTTGCGTCGAATGCTTCGGAATCCACAGCATCTGCAGTCGGATATACATAGTGCAAATGATAACAATGAGATTCCCGGAAACGCTGCTGTGCTGCTGCCATCAGCACAAGCTTACGATCGTGCAATTCGAGTCGCGCTGTCGCTGTTACTAAATGATCCGTCTGGACTTGTAAACTTCTCCCAATTTGCACATTTTCATATTGCACTAGGCGCGTCAAATCTTGATCACTTTCTTCCAGAAGCTGCGTTTCGCGTGCTGAAGTCGGTGACAAGCTTTAACGACGAGACTAAGTCGCATGTACCAGTATCGTCTGATCTACCTGTCGAACAGGATTATAATGATCAAGCTGCTGTAAGACTGAATGATTTACCGCGTGCAATTCGTCAGTACGTGTCTACGAGTGAGGCCGTAGGCTCTACTTTTAAAACCCTAGAGACATCAATCTCCATGACACCTGAACGCTTGGCGTTTTACGAACGCATGTTTGACTTACCTAAGCACCAGTTTGGAGACCAGTACGTGACGCATGACGATTTGGTACGAGGAATTGCTGCATTTGAAGTGGAGGATGCGTCATCAGAAAATGGTCAAGAAGATCGAGTAGACGTTAGTGTAGCTGCTCTCAAATTCGATATCAATGTTTTGCGCACCGTTTGGCATGCCGCTGAAATGCAAGCTAATGACAAGGATCAGATAGCAAGAGTGATTGACCAGAATCGATCCACATTCATCTCAAACGTCAAGTCTGGGTGGCTTTCTTCTTTACATCAAAATCCTACGGGTGATGACTGGGAATACTTGCAGCCGGAGCTGGAGCGCAGCCGAAGTAATGTGGATTATCAGAATAACGCAGAAATTTTAGGGCAACAAATGACTGCGCAGCTCACTTCGTTTGCCGCTGCCATCGCTGCTGGAGTAGTAGTGCGAACTATATGTGCTCCACTAGAGCGATTACGGATATTAATGCAGCTGACAACTCCAAAGCTGACGTCAACCTCAGCGACTGTAAAGCTTCCTTCAGCCACGCCGCCATACACGTCCGTCACGAAAGGAATCGTTAATATGATGACACTCAGTGGACCGCGTAGCTTGTTCAGCGGTAATGTTGCTCACTGTCTTTGGGTTGTGCCTTGTGTCCCCATCAAATTCGCTCTAGGGCACGTCTACCACGAGCACCTGATGCGCTCGGCTTTTCAATCTTCGTCATTGTTTGGTGACAAGTCTCGTGTTTCAGCAAGCTTGACCACTTTCGTTATGGGAGGATTCGCTGGTCTGACACTCAACTGCTTGCTGTACCCGCTCGACGTCATACGCGGACGGCTGACGGCTCAAGAGTATTACAATGCAAATCGTCCTTACACTGGTATTCTGCACTGCGCTCGCTCTATTCGTGATCATGAGGGACTGCGCGGATTTTATCGAGGATTCGGACCTGCGAGTCTTGGTGTCTTCACATACATTGGTTGCAATTATGCTCTGTACGAGTCTTTGCGGCCAGTATTTGTACACTACGACGTTGAAGACACAAGCATTCAACTTGGTCACCCTAGTGTACCGGGCCAAATTTTGTGTGCCACAACAGCTTCGCTTGTGTCGCAGTGCATATCGTATCCCTTTGATGTCATTCGACGGCGCATTCAATTGCAGGGCACAAAGTGGCATCCAGAACTTGCGTTTTCATCGTATAAAGGTGCTTGGCATTGTGTACGAGCGTCGGTGGTCGATGAAGGTGGTGCTTTGCGAGGAATGCGCTCACTGTACCGTGGGTTTGTTATCAATGTTGTCAAGGCATTACCATCTACTGTGATTTCGTTCCTCAGCTACGAAAAACTGCGCACAGTGGACAGCAATTGCAAATAACATCATGCGTTAGTATATTGTTAAAAACAATATAGAAAGCGCCCAATTTGAAGCAACGGTCGTGAGGATCGAAGTACATTTGAAAACTTATCGTTGCTAGCCTTAGCTTATGCATTACCGTCTATCGGGTATGACTCACCAAATTTACAATATTTTAGAGAACAAACGGTTGTGTAAAAATCTTTGCGACGCATTTGTAAGTTACAATGATACTAGTGTTATACAGCGAAATACTCAAATCAAACAACACACTACAGCTTCTTCATCTAACGATAATATGGCAAAAAAAATGATTTGTTGTCGGCGCCAATCTCGACCATCACTGATATATCACTGACCCACTGGGAAAACTCATTCGGGTCAGCGTGACTTCAGCAAATTAAATAAACATGTCAGTCGCGTAAATTGCGAATCTCGTTGTCCATATCTTGCACTTTTTTGCCCGACACCAGATGCATCCGGCTGACATAGTCGTTCAATTGCAAGAATTCCGATTTGGAGCTTGCGTCCTTAAATGAATCAGTCGAATTC